ATAACCTGCTTCGACCTCCAAACAACAACGTACTGAATCTGAACGCACTGGAAGAGCTGGGAAAACAACAACGGTCCGTGATGACTCCCTCATAATCATGAACCTCATAGACAATCCTGACCTTCCTCTCAGTTTGCAGGACAAAAATGACAGGATGCTTTGGGGTGAACTGAACAAAAAGCTCGAACTCCCTAGAATAGAGCCTTTGACGGTCACACGGCTCACTCGGGGAAAGGATTCTAAACATCAAAATCACCCGAGACTACTCCGTGTAACACTCAAGAATGCTACCGAAGTAGAGGATGTCCTGCTGGCCAGTCATCTACTGAAATCCGATGGGAACGTCAGAATACTGCCTGACATACCATATTCTGAGCGCAATCTCATCCGAAACGTCCCTAAAGATTCTCGAGAGAAGTTTTTCCGCGGAAGAAATATCATCGTGCAAGGTGTACCGGAAAACATGGACCCTACTCAAGCAAACTCTGACATTCGGGAATGGAAATTCATCAAACAGTCCTTGAGGCTTAAAAACATACTGTCTCAGCATGTGATGAGACTAGCCAAGAAGGATGGGGATCCTAGACCCCGACTATTGAGGATAACTTTTCCATCCTCCCATATGGCGGCTGCAACTCTGGAAGCATTTCGTGTCAACAGACGTCGGTTGCCAACTGGGATCCATATGCACCCGGATAGGCCATACGACGCCAGGATCAAGCACAAAGGCAAGCTGGAACTGACCATTCCACTTGTGGACTGTCTTCAAGACAAAAAAAACGTGTAAAGGACAGGGCCTACCAATTTGACAAAACTTATATAGGTGGGTTACCTGTCCACTCACGCAAGGCTCTCACAGATAAACAGGAAGAAGCTCACGCGTTTCAAATTGAAAGCATTGACTGCTTATACTTGAACGCCGCGAGTCTACCAAACAAAACGAATGAACTAAGTGAACTTAGCAATGCTAATAAGGTTCATCTGATAGGAATATCTAAAACTTGGATATCTCCTCAGTATTCGGACCAGGAGCTAGCAATACCTGGGATGTCTCTGTTTCGCAATGACAGAAAAACAGGAATTGGGGGTGGAGTAGCCCTATACATAAGATCTGGCCTGGTGGTACATCAAATCCACAACCACGAGTTTGACAATCTTGAGGAATCCCTATGGTGCTCTATGAGATTGTCCACTACTTCGAGGTGCCTAGTCGGAGTCATATATAGGAAGCCCACTGCCGACATCGAGTATGACAGTCGCATGCTGGAGGGACTATCCCGCTCTACGCGTCTCGGCTTCACTCATATCCTGATTCTAGGGGACTTCAATCTTCCTAGAGTCAACTTCGCGGAACATACGTATACTGGAGGTGAAAATTCAATCGAAGCTCGGTTCTTCAACCTCATTGAGGACTTGGGACTACACGAAAATGTGAAGTCGCACACTCGTTGGAGAAACGGTCAGACACCGTCGCGCTTAGACTGTGTTTTTACAAATGAAGAATTTCTAGTCGACAACCTCTCAATTCTGGCTCCCCTGGGGAAGAGCGATCACGCCGTTATAGCCTTCAGTTTCGTCAGCAAAACAGAGCTAAGATATCCCGACAACAACAGGCGCTGGAACTTCAAACGGTTGAATACGTCAGCTCTACAGGATTATCTACAACAGGTGGATTGGGATGTTCACCCTCAACTTGATGTGGATGCTCATTGGGACTCCTTACTGCGCACGCTCTCATGTGCTACTAAGCAGTCAGTTCCTCAAACGGTCCCCAAAAGGCACAAGCAACCTACAATCATCAAAAAACGCACTCTTCGTTTGCTAAGCCGTAAAAGGCACTGTTGGGCAGAATACAAACGAACCAACAACAACGGCGAGTACAGGCAATACAAACATATAAGGAACATATGTACGAAGGCTATAAGAGAAGACAGGCTTCAGTACCAGTTAAAGCTTATGGATAAATTTATTTCCAATCCGAAAAGCTTATTCCGTTATGCAGCCTCTCTTCGTCAAGCCAAAACTGGAGTTTCTCAACTGCTAGGTCCTAACGGCCCGACAGATAATGACGGTGACGCCGCTAACCTTCTGGCTGAGCACTACTCCCGGACATTTCAGCCGACCCACATCAACTATACTGATGTCGGCTCTGTCTGCAACTGCACAGGACTTTCCGTAGTGAAACTGAGTGCTGACTTGGTGTACCGTAAACTACAACACCTAAGAACAGACACTTCTCCTGGTCCAGATATGGTCCACTCTGCTATACTGAGGGAAGCAGCTTTAATCCTAGCAACACCGCTTAGCGTGATGTTCTCACACTCGCTAAGTCGGGGCAAACTACCGGATATTTGGAAGCTGGCTCATATCACACCAATCTTCAAAGGAGGTCGACGCAGTGAACCTTCAAGTTACCGACCGGTGGCCCTTCTCTCTATACCTTCAAAGATCATGGAGTCCCTGGTATACGATGATATACATGACTATCTGCTGTCCTTAAATTTCTTCTCACCCCAACAGCATGGTTTCAGGAAGGGTTATTCCTGTATGACGAACCTGCTGACCGCGGTGGACAGATGGACAAGCATCGTTGATCGCAAGGGGAAGGTAGACATCATTTACCTTGATTTCTCTAAAGCTTTCGATAGGGTTAACCACACATGTCTTATTAACAAGCTCAAACAATTGGGAATCAAACCACCTTTAATTGACTGGCTCAGTTCATACCTCACAAATCGACATTTTAAGGTCAGGGTAAACTTCAATTTCTCACGCGCTATGGAATGTTCTAGTGGGGTCCCCCAGGGCTCAGTACTAGGACCTCTCCTCTTCCTGATTTATATAAATGATCTTCCTCAACAGGTAACGTCAGACATACTGCTCTTTGCCGATGACGTGAAACTTTGGAGAGAGATACGCAACCAAGAGGACATACAGGCACTTCAGGAGGATCTGACTCGACTTCAAAGTTGGGCAGACAACAACGGACTTACCTTTAACACTTCAAAGTGTAAAGTAGTCCATCTGCGACACGTCGCAGATTACAGTTACAACTTAGGAAACTCCTCTCTAGTAGTATCCCGAGTCGAAAAAGATTTAGGAGTTCTGGTGCCCTACGACTTAAAGTCTTACGCCAACTGTGACAAAAATGCCTTTAGAGCAAACCTTGCACTGGTAACATTGAAGCGCATTTTTGGTCAGTTTGACGGGAGAACTTTCCACATAATCTTCAATAGTTTTATTCGTCCCCCTTTAGAGTACGGGAACATAGTATTCCCTCCTAAACTCCAAAAGGATACGGACACTCTGGAACGTATCCAACGGCGAGCCACGAAATCAGTTCGGGGACTCAAATTTAAACCTTACGATGAGCGCCTCCAATCACTCGACCTTTACCCATTAGAGTGTAGGCGTCTTAGAGGTGACATTCTAATGGCTTACAGTATCCTTAACACACCTGGACACCCTCTTAAACACCTACTTAAGCTTAGTCCCAACACTAACCTAAGCGGTAACACCCAAAAACTGGAGATACAACATAGTAGAACGGACTGCAGACACAACTTCTACTCCTTAAGAGTTGTCAAATGCTGGAATTCGCTGCCAGCTGAGCTAGTCCAAGCAACTTCCCAGGAGTCCTTTAAGAGGCGACTTGATCTATTCTTAAGGACTAAGGATAGTATCCTACTATGATTTACCAATTCATTTTCTTTCTCTTTTATCGTTAATATACCTAGGTTCTTGCCTGGCGGTATTGGTGATCCGCTGCTACTAGACACGGAAGCCTGTTAAGCGAAAGCTTCTTCTATTCCGTCCGCAACCATTTGAACCATTTGAACCATTTGTGAGAGTGAACCGAAGTTTGAGATAAATTGTAGTGTTTGACATAAATCCCTGCTGAATATGGCCAAAGTGATCCATATCTTAAGGTATAATACAAGTGAATGGGCAACGAACTTTTGAGTTGCAAGCAATTTTCTAGCTGTCGCGAAAGTTTATTGTGGTTGTTTGTTTAACAGTATCAAAATAAAATACAAGTTGACTAAGCGGCAGGGGCGAAACGGTCCCGTTTAACTAGTATTTGGTAGGCCCTTCTCATGTTTTATATATGTATATATTTAACATATTATAAAGTCACTATGGATGTATTATTTATCTGTGCCATCAAATTTGTACGTCCCTCTGATCGTCATTCTTATTATGTTTTTTATGTCTAGTTTACTTCGTAAAATTTGAGTAAATTCCCCAAAATTTTCCATAGAAGCCTCCACAAAATAGGGAGATTTGGGTAGGAAATAAGGTAAAGGCGAATGAAATTAGAAACATTACTTGCCATCCCCGCGTATTCTTTGTCCTTTTCTATTTCATTTACATTGCTTCTTTTCTGAAGACTTGGATGCCCTGCTCTTTGTAATTCAGTTAAGGCAAAAGTATCATATAACTCAGTTTAGACAAATGTTCAGGGTGAAATAAATACTATTAGCTTAATTAGATACGATATTTTCCTCCGACGTTTTCTACCGATTAGTCTATTAAGATAGTGTACAAATAATGACGACACCCCTATTAAATAAGCCGACGTAATTCATCCTCTTTTGACTGCTCTCAGCAACAATATAAACATGTTTGGGCTAGGTATTTTCCAATGTGCGGTATCTGAAAGTTGATATTGATCTTCGCTTTTTTCAGACACGAACCCGGCTGTAAGAGAGGAAAGACAGCGAACTATAGAGAAAGCTTATGTGGTTAAACGGAATAACGTGTGCTAGTATATATAATACTTAGGAAATTAAGCCTATTGAGGACCTCTGTGTTCATCGCTTGGGAATGAAAGCTATTACTTGACCGGTTATGGGCTCCAATTATTTGAAGTTTGTGCTGATGATGTCGTTTGGAAGAACGATGAAAGCTCCACGACCAAACCATCCAGCTCAGAGAACAAAACTCCATCAAAAAATACTCATATATTTTGAGAGCATGGCGTTAACAACTTTAAGGCTAGACGCAAGGTAATAGAAATAGCAAGTGGGTTTACAAGACTGCATCTTCACCAACTATGTAGATTAAAACACCCATTACATTCAATGTGTTGTCTCTTGTTGCAGGGGCGGGTTAGAAGGAAACTAGATCAGCCAAACCAATAGGTAGCATCAGTCCATGAAGTCATTTGCTGCTGGTCTAAGCTGTGTAGGTAGGTTTGCACTGTCGATTAGCGTAATTGGTGGTTGAAGAAATCAGATGACATAGCTTAGAATCAGTCACTTTGGCGCAGACCGACCCACTCTTTCCTTGAAATCCAGACTTAAAATTATTTTTTATTTCATCATTTTTTTTCGAATCATATTGTCTGTTTAATCCTTCTTACTGCCACTGACTGTTATTGCTCTTACTATGGGATATTTCGTGACGATTTCATGTCAGTGCTAATGGGGTATGACATTGTGAACCAATTTATATGTAAACCAGATTATACCCGACGTATGACTGGGCAAGTAAATTAAGAGATTGAAGTGTACATAAGAATGGATATGGCCTGCCACTAAAATATCAATCTGGACAAAAATAGACTTTCCTGGAGCTTAGTATTCTCGCAAATCTATTGAAATTTATGCAATCGTTTAAATGCTGCGGGATTCATTTATCTCGCTTTCCGTCCACAATATGGTTTTTAATCTTGTCTATATTTTCAGCTAGGTTGATCAGTAATTGTAGAGTAACCTAGTGCGTCGACATCGTTTGTCTGTTGGTTGACCAATTATTAGCATGGGTTCAGGAAGTTCGCATGCTTGTCACCGGCTTGAATCACCTATGACATAAGAGAAAAATCTGCCGGCCAAATAGGGGTTGAAGATACTGCTCAACAGTCCACTTAGCTTTCAACTTTTTTCCTATTCTTCAGCTTCTGTAGCTTATGATGTAAAATAACATGATCACATAGTAAGTTGCTGCAGAATATTTTCAAAGCTATTCTCAAACTTCGTATATCAATCGACCTGATAATAATTGTTGCAAAGATCCCTAGGTGTATAACTTTCAGAAAGCAATAAAAAGTCTTAGTAGTAGTTTTTTCAGTATAGAATAAATCAAACAATCAACAGACACACGATGAGAAAAATAAGTTGACAAATTAGTTAATTAACCCTATGAACAAATATATAAAAACTTGCGAATAAATCACCAATCGTTTTAAGAAACCAATATTTAAACGAATTAGAGGAGTATATGCATGGGTTGTAACATGTAATCAATCATACGTCTTTATATAAGCATAGAAGTATGTGTTTGGTGAAATAGCCAGACTGTTTGTTAAGTTAGATAAACATGCTGATGAATCTAAAGATATATAGACTCGAGTGGAGGTAAGTATGCTATAAATTTCAGTACCTGTGTATAGAAAAGGGTCTTAAATATAATCCCTCTAGTCACTGGCAGGGTTGCCCAATCTCACCATTCCTCTTCAAATTTGCCATCGACGACATTCTGGAAAGAGCTCTGACGGATGTAAGTAATGGTGGTGTGGATCTGTTGCCTGGAGAAAGACTTCTTGACCTTGAGTATGCGGATGATATTGTCTTACTGTGCGAGAATGCCCAAGCCATGCAATCCGCACTTAATCAGTTGGCAATCAGTGTCCGTAGGTATGGTATGTGCTTTGCATCTTCGAAGTGCAAAGTTCTACAAGACTGGAAGGTTTCTAATCCTGTACTCACTCTGGATAGTGAGCAGATAGAAGTAGTCGCGAAGTTCGTGTATCTAGGTAGCTGCATAAGTGCTGGTGGTGGTGTGAGTGATGAGATCAATGCACGTATAGTGAAAGCCAGAGCGGCTTATGCCAATCTGGGCCATCTTTGGCGCCTTCGTGATGTTAGTCTGGCTGTAAAAGGTCGGATCTACAACGCGTCGGTGAGAGCAGTTTTGCTCTATGCTTGTGAAACCTGGCCTCTCCGAGTTGAGGATGTTAGACGACTCTCTGTGTTCGATCATCGTTGTCTCCGAAGGATTGCTGGCATCCAGTGGCAACACCATGTCAGTAATGCAGAGGTCCGGCATCGAGTGTTCGGTCACAGAGACGATAATGAAATTGGTGTCACCATCTTGAAACACCGACTTCGGTGGCTTGGACATGTTCTACGAATGTCGTCCCAGTGAATTCCACGTCGTGCTTTATTTGCCGACCCTGGGACTGGTTGGAAAAAGCGGAGAGGTGGTCAGTATATGACATGGTGTCGTGGTATGAAAGAAAGCTGCAAAGGGCTGGCTTCTGTTGGTCCTTCACGACTCCCTGGTTGGGGTCCGAGAGATGGTGTAACGCAGTGGCTAGAGACGTTATCAGATATGGCTCAGAATAGAAGCCAGTGGCGATCCTGCTGTAACCTTCTTTTACTTTCTTCATGAAAAGTGGTTGTATCTTTCTTAACTGAAAGATCTCTTCTGACTGTACCTTTCCGTTTCCCCCACCATTGTTCTCTCTCTCTCCCTTTTTTTTATAATTCCCCACGTTCATTACTTTTTTTTCTCTTTTCTCCTTCTCTTCAAATTATCATTGTTTTGTGTGGCGCATATATATTTGGTGCTCCCCTTGTACCAATATTTATGTGTTCAAATAAAATAAAATAGTCACTGACTTATGGCTTAAGTACACATGGCTACCAGGGCATTTGGTTTTGGAACATTGCGTCCCAGACCTAAATCCCACTATATTTTTTAATGTTCAGGATTTCACTTAGTATCATTATTTTTTAAAATATCATTAGTTTATCTGTTGGTGAATAAACCTCCTCGTGATTGCTAACCTTCACTATCTTTAAAGTTACCCACATAAGTATGCTGTTTTGCCAGTAGTATATAACAGTAACCTACGTATTTGTTTTCATGATAGATATATTCGGAGTTCCACTCTATTATAATGTCAGAGGATAGCGATTTTAAAGTTTTGGATTGCTTGCATGTACAACTGAAGCCTGGATGGACGAAAAAGGGAATAACTGAATTTCTGAAAGAAGCAGAAAAGCGAGAAGTTTTATACACAAGAGCCCGCAAAGATGATATGGAGAAAGCGATTGCTCAGTTTAGAAGTTCTGCTTTGAACTTCATCGCCAGACTACCGACCGAGATCCGAAGTAAACCCTACTTTGATTGCATCAACCAGTATAATGGGGATACAGGAGCAAATGTAAGTTGTACTCAAAGTAGTACTATGTGCAAGTTTTGATTTCAATAACGGTACAGTATCCAATAGTATGTTTTTTATAGTCTGCTCTTTTTTAACTAATAGAGCATGTCTATATCATTGCTTTTGCCAACTTACGTCATTTGTGGCGTAGGCGAGATATCCGTCTATCAACCAAAGGACGTGTTTACTGAGCAGCAGTTCGTTCCGTCCTACTTTATGGCAGTGAAACATGGCCAGTAGGAGTAGAGGATATTCGTAGGTTACTAGTATTTGATCATAGACGTCTTCGAAACATTGCTCGTATATCCTGGGACCACTGAGTAAGTAATATAGTTGTTATGAAACGGGTACTAGGTAAGGATGGCAAATCAACTGATGAAGTGGTAAAACTTATCAGTTGAGATGGCTGGGACATGTGTTACGTATAGCCAACCACCGACTGCCCCGACGAGCGACGTCTCATGGTCCAGGGGTAGGTTGGAAGAAAGCTAGAGGCGGCCAGATCAAATCATGGCACGAATCCATGAAGTCACTGATAAGTGGACAGAGTGAGCCATGTTGGTAGGTGTAGACTACCTGGTTGGCATCCACGAGACGATAGCAACCGATGGTTAGAGACCTTAAATGACATGGCTCAACATCGTTTGCAATAGTGTGCTCAGGTGCATCCACTGTTTGTGTTCTCCCAAATTCTAATCATCTGAATCCTTCACATCCCTTTCTTTCTAAATTTGTTTCACTGTATTATACTCCTTGAGTAACATCTTCAAACCCTAATGTTCCCTATCACTACTTATACTTTTAGTACATCTACCACTATGGGATTTGAACCGATAACTGAATCTCTGTGCTAATGTGGTATGGCAACTCGAACTGATGTACGTACGTACGAAGTTCCACGTTACTGACTGACTGCTTTACGGTCAGCTAGGGTTTTAAGACCGGTTTATGATTGAGCTATTAAAGATCAGCTCTCGCTGTTGCACTAATGTATTTCCTGTTATAAAATTCGTCCCAAAATTAAAAAAAATTGCTTAATAAACCCACTACTTCACAAATCTCCAAAATAAGTTTTTTTTGCACTAAGAAATGATACTGTTGATCATCGTAGATATGTAGAAGTTGAACGTGTTTGTATCTTATCACTATTTCACTTTACCAAGTAACCCCTAGGCAATAAGCCTTTAATGATTCCGTTATATATCCAAGTCCCGCTGAACATACTTTCTTTTTTTTGTGGTGTTACTAGTTGTCGCATTGAGAGGGTATTTTCAAACAAAGCACTCAAACGTGTATTTTTTTATACAGTGGAATTAATAAGCGATGTTTCTTTTTCAGGAAAGACAATTAATGATCGAATGCATATACTTCTCTGGATACCTTTACCTATTTTTCAATTTTCTGTTACTGCAACTGACAGTAACGTTCGAATAATTTTGGCTTTGAAGGCATCCATGTTCAAATACTGAACATCTTTAGTGTTCATTTTAAACCCTCGTCTCTCGACCATTAAACTACGAAAACAACTGATTTTTTAAAAATAAGGTATCTCATTAGTGTCATAAATAATTCGTGTTTTCCAAACGCTAAACGAGTTATATATATTGCAGCTTTTTGTGTAACAACGTATTCGAAGGTTAGTTTAACTTATGGGATTTTTAAGACCCAGAAGGTAATAACTATATGACTACTCCTTGTTTTTCTTAGTCGACAATTTTCATAGATTGGAATTTCTGGAAGTAATTACCCTTATAATATTCGAATACACAAACTAAGGTTACAGTATTTTGGTTTGTTGTAATCTTTTATCTGAGATTAACACAAACAGCTTTTGTAAATGTCATGCAAAGCAACTTTATTAGAATTGATATCTTTTAAATATCCGTATTAACATAATATACTTTCGTTTACATTTATGTTATTGCATTAGTTACTTGACCAGTTGGTGTCTGAGGTAAAAAAGCGTAGTCGACTAGAATGGGAAGATTCTGTAAAGACTCGTACCGGAAAAAGACCATGTAGAGGACATACTACAAGTAATTGTCAAAGTGCAAAGACATCTCAAGCATCCACTAATCCACAGTTGTCACAATGGCCGTCTATGCCATTTATTTCGGAAGATGGAGAGTTAACAAATATTAATGATGTCGGTCAAGTTCCAACTCTAAATACTTCTCAGGTACTTCTCGTTACTGCGGTTATTTGTTGTCAAATGTTTGATTATTTTGATTTTATCTAGTTCATATTGTGTAAACACAGTTCTAAAAATACAACTACCTAGCTTCTTTCCTATACCTACGCATATCCTCAATGATGTCCTTGGCAACATCTTAACGATAATTAGACTTGAGACTATTTGTGGAATTCAAGATGGATGTTTAATCCAGCTTGTGATCATTGTATAATCATTTAACTCGGTAATTTACCAAAAGAGTAAATGTCAGTTTGGAGCTGGTACATAATGCACTCCAAATGAAAGTGTTTTTTGTGAATTATCATTCCTAAATCTGATAGTAAATTATAATTATCATACAGTCCTTAAAAGAACGACACTCTGTTTCGTATGGCGTTTACGATCTCAGGTGCACCATAGCGTCGAGGGAGGCTCTCCTATCTACACTGTCAAATGTCTTCTCATAGTCAAGGAAATCGATATGTAGTGACAAATTCCATTCAATTGATTGTTTACAATGATCCATAGTGTTGCATTCGGTCTGTGCACGACCGATTCTTATGGAATCCAGCGTGTTGATCTTGAAGTTGGATGTCTACTGAATCCTTCATTCGGTTCAACAACACTATTTAAAACTTTTCCTCGCACTGATAGTAGTGTGATTCCTCTGTAATTCTCACACCTGCTCGGATCTCCTTTCTTTGGCATCTAGATGAGGTAACCTTCTTTTCAGTCTGTCGGCACTTGTTCTTCCTCCCAAATATTTCTGAATAAAATGTAGAACATTCTTGCAGTTACGTGTATGCCTAACTTCGGTGCTTCGGTTGGTATGTTGTCTTCTGCTGCTTTCTCACTCTTGATTTGTTTGATATCCATTCTGATTTCTTCGGTCGTTAGTGGAGTGACAGCTATAGGAAGGTTTGTGTGCTACTTCGATGTCCGGTGGGTAGAGTGGAGCTGATATATTCTAAAGCTCTTGGAAATGTTCTGCCAATCTGTTCCGCTGTTCGTGAATTTCAGTGATTGGCTTGCCTTATTTACGCTTCACTAGGCGCTCTGGTTTACGATATTTCTATAGTAGTTTCTTCGTTGTCATATGGCTGTCTCATATTTCGTTCTGTTGCAACTTTCTCCACTGTCATTACCAGGTCTTCCATGTATTTCTGCTTGTCATCTCTGATGTTCTTCATCACTCTTGTTTGTTCCTGTGTATTCGGCGTGTGTCTTGAAGTTTTGTGTTCTTGTTCGACTGTTGTTAATTGGTGTCTTCTTGTTCTTCCTTTCTTGAATCTTGTCCAAGCATCATCCTTATGATAATGATGCTTGTTACAGCCCAGAACATCCTGACACGAAGTGCCACCTATAACCGTTTTGTTGAATGCACATAAACTTGCAAATCTCTCACCATTCTCATGCCTTTTTCCCGGTCCATGTCGTTCTGTGATATCTTCATACCAAATGTTGTCCGTTCCCACCATGACGTTTAGGTCTCCCATCAGGATGGTTGTGTCCTTTCCTGGACACGTCTCTACGGTGGACTGCAGTCTCCCATAAAACTGATCTTTATCGTCCTCATCGCTATCATTGGTAGGTGCATAGCACTGCATAACATAAGATTCCTATCGTATAAGTGCTTTTCGTGGTTCTTTGAACAGCATCAGAGCAAATCCTTTCGTGTATGAGGCATTTTATTCTTCATAAGCAATGTAAAACAGCATCTGTCCCCAATCTAATCCTTTTTGTCTAGTTTAGGTCTAATAGGTTTCACTTATCCCAAGCACCGCCAAGATTTATCTCGTTATTTTCGCAGCTATTTGGTCGGTCCTTCTGGTTTCCCCCATGTACCTATATCGATTGTTGCTCTGGTTGTCAGAAGTGGGATTGGCCTCGTGATTTTCGAAGAATCTCGGCTGTCATCGTGAGGCGTAATAATTTTTCTGAATGAAGATCCTTCAACTTCAAGGGCGAAACCTAAGTGATTTTTTCCTAATTAGCGTACCTTTAGCAAGGTTGTTTTCTACAGAAAGGAGTTGTTGACCTACTGCCCAACCCTCTTTCATTGTCTGGACGGTAACTCTAAAAGAGCTGCAGATGAAGTTTATGAGCTTATATGTGTGTATCGCTTACCCTATTCATCACATGTCTTTAGCTTAACTGCCTGGATATAAATAGTTAGTTAGACTTTTTCAAATGAAGTTGGGACGCTTGCTTTCTCTGCTTCGCTTTTCTTTCTCGCTTCTCACTTTCATACGTCTGAATAAACGAGTGACTGAAGTTAATTCATTCTGCTTAATCCTTATGTGGATTCTTATTACTGCCATCGCTCAAACAGGTTTATCCTAGGTGTAGTATATGGAGTCAAACTGAAGGTTTATATCTATCCGTTCGTCCAAAACTTTGACCGCGGGACGCTAAAGTGGTAAACCACTAGAAAGTAAGCGTCAGGGGTTGTCAAGGAGCCTGAATATGTCACGGAAACTCAGTGTTTATCAACGCTACCTTGTGAAACTTCTCATACAAGGACCGCAAAGCCAATCAGACCAGAAGACGAGAATGAAGGGATGCAAAGATATATTTGAAGACTTATAAAACTAATTATTTTGGAGGCCTGTTTACCGCTACTCCCCTCTCTCTAGTGAGGGCCCTGATAAGTTACCAGTCAGAAGTTTATATTTGATGAGCTTGTTGTTAATAAACACTCGATAGCTTGCTATGTTCAGAAGCGTTTTTTCGTTTGTCCCTACTCTAGGAAGTCGTGGGGTCACTGTTGAAAATGTACAGAAATAAGTGACTTGGTTCTCTGAATTCGTCTCCGTTTCTTCATTCTTTTCAGTCGTCCTGGGTGATAAAGAAATAGTAATGTAAGTGCCCAATACTCATGCCTTCGGAAACAGCAGCCTGTAAATTCACCCACTTATGGTATATCTTACGTCAGCTAATAGAATCTAATATAACACTAAATGTCTACATGGGATATCGTAGTCAGTGCAAATTCACACCAGGTTATTATTACTAACCTAACGATGCTATAGTTTCACGTTCTAGAGGGACAGTTAAGTTGAGAAATTTTTCATATTTTCATTATAAATAATTTTTATTTGTTATCAGTCCAGTGTTATTTATTCTTGTGTTTACTTTTGACTAGATGAAATCTGGTGGTGGAAAACGATTACCCATTGCTTCTACACCAAAAGTTACTGGACTTGAAGGATTCATCCCTCCATCTACTACTTATCGAGTAACTCGATCACGTGCAATCAATAACCAAGGTTCAAGTACATGTAAAATGAATACAACTCGGGTAACTAACACTAATATAACAACAGCTCATGATACTTTAACCACTATGGATAAAACTTTACGACCTAATTCTACACAAAAATTATCTAAAGAAATGAGAGTAAGATTTATTTTTTCTTCTTAACAGTTTATAGTAAATATTTATATTATAATTTTAGATTATCCACTCAGAAACAATAAACATATTTATTTTCCTAACTGTAGATCTATTAGATATGAACAGATAAATGGTAATAGGATAGTTAGAGGATTCCATCCTTTTAAAGATTAAAAACAAAAAAATGTATGAATTCTAGTCATTTCAATTGTGAGAGTGAAACATCAGGGATTTAAATGTATCAAACTTATTATTCAAAGAAACAAAACTATTATTAGTAAACTAATTTCGTCTCAAATATAAAGTCAGTCAGTCAGCTGCAACGTAAAACCAGGCACATATTTGCATCGGTCCAAGTAGCCATACCGCATTAGCACAACAAGATGAACATCGGATTCATAGAAGTAGTTAATTCAGTGGTGGTAATATATAGAAGAAAGATTGCATATAAGGAGATAGTACAGGAAGAAAGATTTAGTACGTAGAAAGAAAAATATGAAGCGATTTTAATCTTATAGTTTAAAGGAAGACAGAGAATATATACACATACGCCATTGTGATCGATTCTGAACCATGTCACCAAGAGTCTCCAGCCATTGGTTACGATAGTCACACGGATCCCAACCAGGCAGTCTGAATCTTCCAACATGGCTCAGCCCAGAAATTAGTGATTTCAAGCACTAATGTCACGTTTTGGTTTGGCCGCCCCTAACTTTCTTCCAATTATCCCTAACACCAGTGAGCATTGTGCGTCGTGGTAATCGGTGTTCAGGCATACGTAACACGTGGCCCAACCATCCCAGTCGATGAAGATTCATAACCTCATCAACTGATTTACCATCATTCCCTAATACCCTGCGTCTAACCTCACTATTACTTACCCGGTGATCCCAGCAATATTTCTAAGGCATCTGTGGTCAAATACTTGTAGCTTACGAGTATCTTCAACTCTTAATGGCCATGTTTCGCAGCCGTATAGTAGAACGGAACGAACTGCCGCGCTCTATACTCGTCCCTTAATTGATAGACGGATATCTCGCCTTCGCCATAGATGACGTAAGTTGGCAAAGGCCAAACGAGCTCTTCGAATGCGTGCTGAGATTTCGTCAGACACCAACCCATTAGGGCTGATCAGACTTCCAAGATAAGTGAAGTTGTCAACGCGTTCGATTACTTCACCCCCTATCCTTAGTTCAAGTGTTGACGCAGACCAGTCCTGAAGCAACAACTTGCATTTAGAGGGAGAGAATTGCATCCCAAATATTCTGGCATTGCTGCTCAATGCTACCAAAAGACTGCATTTTATTAGCGTCTTCACCAAACAGGACTATTTCATCTGCGTATTCTAAGTCGATAAGTGGACCTCCTGGTAGAAGATCAATGCCCGAGAATTCAGTTGATGAGAGCGTTATTTCCATCAGTAGATCTATGATGAAGTTAAACAAAAGTGGAGAAAGTGTACAGCCTTAGCGGACGCGAAAGCAGATGACAGTTAGCCATTAGCTCTAACTCGACTAGTAGTGTTCGAGTAAAGAGCCTTCACAAGGTTTATGTACTTCTGAGATACGCCTTTCAATGGTAGACACTGCCACAGAACCCCTCGATCTACAGAGTCAAATGCTGCTTTTAAGTCAAGAAAGACCATTGTCGGACGCCGATAAGTATGCCTGTGTTCTAGAACCTGACGAATGGTGAATATGTGGTCGATGCAGCCACGACCAGGTCTGAAGCCAGCTTGATCCTCTCGTGTTTGCAGTTCACGAGTCTTAGTTAGGCGTCCGATAATTGTCGAGGCTAGTATTTTAGATGCTATATTAGTTAAACTAATCCCTCTATGGTTATCACAGGATGATTTTGACCCTTTCTTAAATATTGGGACGATAAGTGATTGTGACCAGTTAGATGGGATAACGTCTAACTCCCAGATTTTGGCTAAGATATTAGTCAACCTAGTCTCTAGAATCGGACCACCATCCTTAAAGACCTCTGGAGCCAATCTATCTGGACCAACTGCCCTTCCTCGTTTTAAATTAACTATACCCTTTTGAACTTCAGGGACCTACTTCAATGTTCCATTCACACTATCTGGGAATGGTGGGTAGTTGTAGAGTAGCTGAAGGCCAACTGAACTGCTCCTTAAAATGTTCCGCCTATCGTTCTAAATGTCTGGACTGGGAGCAGATAAGAAAGTCGTCTTTTTCCGAGATAATCTCACTTACACCTGACGTTTTTGTCCCAGTTTCCTTTATGAGTCTGAATCTCAGATATAAACCAAAACTATAAAATTACGTTTGTTTGTCGATTATATATGCTCCGACTTGATATAACTATTTATCGAGACAAGACAAGACAATCTGAATACCTTATTTACTGTAATAAAGCAGATGGCTTCCTTAAGTATAAATAGAAATAAAAACATAGTTAATAAACGTTTTCTATAGACAGATGCAAAGATATTTGGTCATGCTTTTTACATGTCAAATTATTAATAGTAGTAGGTATTAGTATAGGGTTCGTAACAGATTATCACAATAAAGTGATGTGCCCGACAGAATACTTAATGCTTATACTAATATCTGCAGGTTTTGACCGAATTAGTCATGACAATCGATGTCCCCTTAGGATTATTCAAACAACGACCTAGTTAGCGTTAGATTAGTTTCTTCTCATGTGATCAAGTGTGTAAACTTAAGTATGGTTTCTAAACCTCAGTCTTTATATGATTCCAGTGAAATAAGAGGAAGCTTAATTAAATTCGCACATTTTGAATAAGCATATCCAGCCAATATAGCACGTTTGACTCATCACGATAGCCAAGCCAAGGGCTCGGAATCGATCATAATGGCGTCGGTGTATACACTCTCTGTTTTCCTTTAAACTATGAGATTAAAATCAGTTCATATCTTTCTTTCTACGAACTGATTCTTTCTTCCTGTACTTATATGCAATCTTTCTTTTATATATTACCACCATTGAATTAAGTACTTCTATGACTTCGGTGTTCATCTTGCTGTTCCAATGAGATATGGTAACTTGGACCGATGTATATATATGCCTGGTCTTGGAGTACTATTTGTGAATAACGTCAAGTAGTTATTTACTGTTAAAAGCATAGTATGTATATATAATGCTAGACACAACTATTTTTTTATAGAAGTGAATAACTCTTCTATCAATATTTGTAAATTGTTTTTTTTATTCTGATTATAATAGGATAAATTATTATCGAAGATTGATCGTAACAACATACAGCTATCGTCACCGGAAGCACAGCATCTACGTAATCTTATTGTAACACTTCAAGATGCATTAAACCGTCATAACCAATCAAGAAGGAAGTGAAAAAGCAAGTCAATGTTTGACGCAAACTTCTGTCTCTGTTTTATAACTTTGTGCAATCAATAACTTGTCCAGATTTCATAGGTGTAAAGAAAATATGATAATTTAGTTGTATTAATCTTATTATTCTTTGTTTACTAATGTATATATGATAAAGTCTACCTACAATACTCAACTAATATGTTGTTTCGATATTTACTAAATTAAGTGTTTATTACAAAATTGTCTGGGATACGAACCACTATTTGGCGCGATATATCGTGTTGTATTTGGTTGATCGATAGATGATTCTAATCTGATGCTACAATCTCAATGATACTGTAAATTCACAAACATCTGTTTTTTACAACGGCTTACAAAGTTGCCTTTGATGTGTAATAAGCCTATGATAAACATTAAACTCAATAGTAACTCTTTTGAATGGCTACCTCTAATATTATCTTTATTAGCAACGTGTTAATAAACTCCATAATGACATTATTTTCACCTTAAAGTTGTTTGTAGCCTAGAAATTACTTTTCTTATGGTACAAGTCATACTTGCTTTGGGATATTATGAAACATGATTACAAAATAAACAGTTAGGATTTACCAACTTCAAATTTCTATGCAGAAACATGGCAACATTGTATCACTTGACTTGGATGCGATTATCGAAGATATAGTAAGATATGACCGTTGTTTCGTTGTAATCATAAAGTTTTCAGTAGGGCATACAAATCTGCTGACGAGGTAAATGGCTTTATTATGTACAGATACTTCAAACATGGGTTGCATGCTGTTAAACACATACCTAGACAACGATACATAGGTAAATATAAAACTGGAATGGCTGAGACATATATTATGCATGTCTAAGTCAACGTATCACTTTGTTTGGCATGGAAGTGAGTTGAAAGAAAACTAAGGACGATCAAACTCAGATGTGGCATCAGTCCATGAAGTTACTGGCTGTTGAATCGGATAGTGTATGTGGGTGCAGACTACATAGCTAAGGTCCGCCTGATCAGTTGCTGAAAACAGGTGACACGATCTATAATCAGTTATATTGGTGCTGATGCATTCACTCTTTATCTTCTTTCAAGTATCTAGTTTTAGTGTTCCTTCATTACTACCTTTTTATTTTGTCATATATGACAAATAGTCATAGCTCGAATTAATCGCAACGTGCATACGACTTCGTCTTTTTAATTACTGTGCTCCATAGCTGTTGCTTATTTTCCCATATATTTTCTTAGTTGTATCAAGATGTGGAGAATTCAGTTATACCGAGTTCTAAATTGTTTAATTTGTCGTAAAATTGTCAGATTATAGTTTGACTTTTTTCATTTCACTTGTGCTTTAGACAATATTGTATTTAGGATGGTGAAAAGCTAAGCTATGCGCTGTTCATATAACAATTTTGGTTGGCAACTTAACTCCTTTAGTCTTCGTCCTAATGATATTCTCTAAGTACTGGTCTCCTAAAGGCTACCATGAACTCAAGCGTTATCAAACACCATCGTTAACAATGAGTCAACAGTTTTCGTATTTGTATTCAAATCTCAACTCTAGGTTATTCAATTTAAACACGAACAGATTACCAGTTACTTTAATGTTTGGATTTATTACCCCATTGAACTTTCCTTTTTCCCACTCAGCATTAAATGGTTAAAATTTTATTTTATTGCAGTGGTGTAATTGTGTTTTTCTCACTGCTAACGGGTAAGAATTTGTTACATAGAGTCAGATTTACAACTACAATGGCTAAACAGTTGTCCTATAGTAGATCCTGAGAGATTCAAATGACTAGCAATTATCTGATAATGGGTGCTAGAGTCGCAATAGTATTATTTATTACAAGGGGCACCAAATATATATGCGCCGCAATAGTATGTGGTGTTAACTAATCTATGTAATCTGCAGAAACACCCAGCGGTGTATGCAAGCGAAGTAGTAGGACGAAGTTACTCATCCGTCAATTTAATCACCGATGATGAGTATAAAGGAATTCTGTCCTGTAGTCAAACATAAGTTGTTTTTGATAACTCCATGTACTAAAATGAAATTTTGGCTGCACACATGTTTTAGACTTGAAATATGTGACACGATGCTGATAGATCGTTGAGGTAAAACGTACATAAAAACACTAATTTACCCGTATAGGTATTCCTGTAGTTAGAAATTAACTGAAATCACTTAAGCACGTAACAACCTCTGGTGGGATGGCAGATGAGACTTGCAGCTGAGTAGAATGATTTTGGTGACTTGTAAGAACCTGAACAAAACTTGTGGTTACGCTTCGATAACTAAATTAAAAGTATTCAATAACAAATTCATTAAAAATAAGCACGAATCAAATACACTAAAAATAGATATTTACAATAACTACATGTACAAGAGTCATACTTCATTATTAAGGGGTGACCAGTTTTTAGTGTTGCAAGTCGATAATGTAATTATAACGAAATTTATATACAGTGACAATTTTCGCTGAACTTAGCGGAATGGTCTTGGTGGACTAGGGGGCTCCGCCTTAATGGAGACTTTGCGCGGTGGGGAAGGACTTGGGTTGCGTAGGCGTCTCGGAGAGTTCCTTTGACTAATGTCTTCTCTTTTTGTTTCTGAATGAGGCTCTCTGTTTTCCCTAAGCCTTGGCTCTCGATTCTCTCTATTTCTTAACTCCCCATTTTCTCTAGATCTTGACTCTGGATTATAACGTTTCTCCCGACCATTTCGCTTCTGAATAGCTTCAAGGCGTCGCTTTTCTGCCTCTTCTTGTTCCTGTTGAATTTTTTTCAGTTGTTTCATCACTTCTGGACCACATCCATGCTCTTTAACAAATTCGGAAACAGAGTCAGTAGGTCGTTTGTACTCTGGCTTTTTACCCGTATGTCCAACATCAAGAACTCCGTCCTTTGGTACTCGATATTTTTCGACATGGTCTACTCGGATTATACGACCTCCTAATTTTATTCCATTTAAATTATCAGTAGCTAGAACAGTACTTCTTTGATCTTCATAACACACAAAGGCAAATCCCTTTGACACACCTGTCTTTTTATCCCGAACTAAATTGATATTAACAATTTCACCATACTGAGAAAAAACACAAATAACATCACCTTCAGTGAGATCGTAATGTAAACCACCCACATAGATCCAAGCCGAATCTTTGTATTGTCTATGCCAACTGCTAACTGTCCCTGTGTGACCGAGCGACAACTCCTTCTCATTCATTAAATTCTGATTTTTGGCATTCGTAATTGGATTCATTGTGGAACCGTTCTATCTAGAATAATATTGTAAAAAATAAATAGGTAGGTAAAGAGAGGGTTATTGAACAACCAGTGCCAGTCAGCAACAACGTAAAACTTCGTACGTACGTACATCAGTTCGAGTTGCCATACCACATTAGCACAGATTCAGTTATCGGTTCAAATCCCATAGTGGTAGATGTACTAAAAGTATAAGTAGTGATAGGGAACATTAGGGTTTGAAGATGTTACTCAAGGAGTATAATACAGTGAAACAAATTTAGAAAGAAAGGGATGTGAAGGATTCAGATGATTAGAATTTGGGAGAACACAAACAGTGGATGCACATGCTCCATTGCAAACGATGTTGAGCCATGTCATTTAAGGTCTCTAACCATCGGTTGCTATCGTCTCGTGGATGCCAACCAGGTAGTCTACACCTACCAACATGGCTCACTCTGTCCACTTGTCAGTGATTTCATGGATTCGTGCCATGATTTGATCTGGCCGCCTCTAGCTTTCTTCCAACCTACCCCTGGACCATGAGACGTCGCTCGTCGGGGCAGTCGGTGGTTGGCTATACGTAACACATGTCCCAGCCATCTCAACTGATGAATTTTCACTACTTCATCGATTGATTTGCCATCCTTACCTAGTACCCGTTTCATAACAACTGCATTACTTACTCAGTGGTCCCAGGATATACGAGCGATGATTCGAAGACTTCTATGATCAAATACTAGTAACCTACGAATATCCTCTACTCCTACTGGCCATGTTTCACTGCCATAAAGTAGGACGGAACGAACTGCTGCTCAGTAAACACGTCCTTTGGTTGATAGACGGATATCTCGCCTACCATTATAGTGTATTAAATAACTAAGCATTAACTTTGCTTCAAGTTCTAGAAAGTTTATTCGCCCTCAAATTCTGGTCTTGGTGATAAAAAGTGTGCGGCAGTAACTGCGTGTTTTCTGAGATTAGACATAACAAGTGCTTACCAACCAAATGCAAAATACTCACAAGTCATGTGTAACTGTTTCATCTACACTTCTGGGAGCTAGAAGGCTATAGTGAAACTATACTACAACAAAAAACCCAGGGTGCTTTAAGAATGGCTACGCGTAATCAGTTAACGAATAAATCAAAATCATAGGACTGACACCAATGAAACTCAAACATAGTCTTTTAATTTATTTCCAGGGTCGGTGACCGGCTTTCCGTATCTTAAAGCATTCAGATTGATACAAGGACTCATGAATTTTGCACGAATCAGTGTTTACGATATGAAAACTTTGCAATTTAAAAGGAGACATGGCTTTTCTATATAAATAGAGTACGATAAAGATATAAAGTACAGTATAGTAGTATGAAACTCCGTGGCAAAACGACCAACGAATCCAAAACTGACAGTTTCAAAGTAACTCCACAATCGAAACGTCCCGCTTATAAGCACTGGGTTTCTTCTGGTTCCTTACAACTGATCGAAGCCCGTCGGTCTACTCCGGGTGACGGTGAGTTTGACCACAGACGAAGGATGTTACGTAATCAAATCGGGCAAAGCTTGCGTAAGGACCGAGAAGCCTGGTGGTTGGAGTGTGCCAGTGAGTTGGAAGCAGAAGCTGCATCTGGTAATTACCGGAAGCTCTTCCAACTCATCCGAGCCACTGGCAGCAAGAAGTCTAGTGTGAGCGAAACAATCTGCGAGGATGACGGAACGTCAATAACTAACATCCATCGACGTCTTGGACGATGGGCAGAATCCTTTGAAGGGTGGTTCAACTGGCCTGCTGCTCCGGCAACATCGGTCAGACTGTCCTGCCCTCCATGGCCGGTGACGACTGATCCACCAAATGAGGCGGAAGTCCGCAAGGAACTCCAACTCTTGAAACGTTACAAATCACCGGGCCCAGACGACTTACCTCCGGCTCTTTTTAAAGATGGTGGTGACTTTCTGAATAAGGGACTGACGACGTTGTTTACAAAGATCTGGGAGCTAGAGAGTGTACCAACGTCATGGAATGAGTCGATAGTTGTCCCTATCTTTAAAAAGGGTTCGCGTCGTTCCTGTAAATACTATCGGGGGATAAGTCTACTTCCGATCGCGTCCAAGCTACTGGCTTCCGTTATACTTCGTAGGTTGTTCGAAACCCGAGAAAGATTGACTCGCGAGGAGCAGGCTGGGTTTCGTTCCGGTCGAGGATGTATTGATTATATCTTCACCCTCCGCCAAACGTTAGAACACCGCCATACTTATCAAAGGCCAAAAATCGTAGTGTTTCTTGACAACAGGGCTGCCTTCGATTCGTTGGATCAACCGTTCTCTGGGATTGTCTATTCAAGAAGGGTGTGCTTGAGAAGTTTATTAACATCCTAAAAGCCCTATACACAAAAACCTCAGACAGAGTGAAGGCATACAACCACCTTTCTCCATTATTCCATTCGATCAGTGGGGTTAGGCAGGGTTGCACAATCTCACCATTCCTCTTCAACTTTGTCATCGATGACATTCTGGAAACAGCTCTGATGGATGTAAGTAATGGTGGTGTGGATCTGTTGCCTGGAGAAAGACTTCTTGACCTTGAGTACGCGGATGATATTGTGCGAGAACGCCCAAGCTATGCAATTCGCACTTAATCAGTTGGCAATCAATGTCCGTAGGTATGGTATGTGCTTTGCATCTTCGAAGTGCAAAATACTTCTACAAGACTGGCAGGATTCTAATCCTGTACTCACTCTGGATGGTGAGCAGATAGAAGTAGTCGCGAAGTTCGTGTATCTGGGTAGCTGCATAAGTGCTGGTGGTGGTGTGAGTGATGAGATCAATGCACGTATAGTGAAAGCCAGAGCGGCTTATGCCAATCTGGGCCACCTTTGGCGCCTTCGTGATGTTAGTCTGGCTGTAAAAGGTCGGATCTACAACGCGTCGGTGAGAGCAGTTTTGCTCTATGCTTGTGAAACCTGGCCTCTCCGAGTTGAGGATGTTAGACGACTCTCTGTGTTCGATCATCGTTGTCTCCGAAGGATTGCTAACATCCAGTGGCAACACCATGTTAGTAATGCAGAGGTTCGGCATCGTGCGTTCGGGTACAGAGACGATAATGCAATTGGTGTCACCATCTTGAAACACCGACCTCGGTGGCTTGGACATGTTCTACGAATGTCGTCCCAGTGAATTCCACGTCGTGCATTATTTGCCGACCCTGGGACTGGTTGGAAAAAGCGGAGAGGTGGTCAGTATATGACATGGTGTCGTGGTATGAAAGAAAGCTGCAAAGGGCTAGCTTCTGTTGGTCCTTCACGACTACCTGGCTGGGGTCCGAGAGATGGTGTAACATATTGGCTAGAGACGCTATCAGATATGGCTCAGAATAGAAACCAGTGGCGATCCTGCTGTAACCTTCTTTTACTTCCTTCATAAAAAGTGGCTGTATCCTCCTTAAATGTAAGATTTCTTCTGAGTGTACCTTTTCGTCTCCCTCCATTATTGTTCTTTTTTTTTAATCCCCTACGTTCCTTACTTTTTTCCCTTCTTAAATTCTCATTGTTTTGTGTGGCGCATATACATTTGGTGCCCCCCCTGTACCAATATTTATGTGTTCAAATAAATAAATAAATAACTCCACAATCTTCCAGTTGTAGACAAAATTTGGTCAGATTTTCGAGCGCTATAGGAGACCCGAGACACAAAAACTCGGTATTACTACTGGTCTGCAATTTTCGACATAAAGATTCACAAACTGAGAGACTGGGTTATCGTCGTATTGCTGCACGATTGTGAAATGTTAACAACGTTAGTACTGAAATGTAGCAAACTGAACAACTTGGACATTCTGATACTTCCAAGTAACAGTGAATATTTTTGATCTATTATATACACATATATGGAAGGCCGTAAAGCGAAGCTTCCATTTTGTTCACAACTATTTGAACGACAGTTCAAGTGATTAGTAGAAGTTGAAAAAATTCGGAATTGATTTTGAGAAAAAGTAGACAAATCGGTGTCAGTTTTTGGGAAAAGTAGACATTTTGGGGAAGGAAAAAGTGGTAATTACGAGACACACTATTTACCTAAGGATAAAGGAAAAGGTGATATCTTGATGTATCGCTGACCATATTTATAACGACTTTTTCTAAGGATTTTCTTCAAAGTTCGCCTTTAGTTCCCCATTTTTGTTAGGACATTCGGATACAAAGTGAAAAAATACATTGCTATACATTAATTCACAACTTACTGATGATTAAACAACTAACTGATACTTGTAAGTAATACCAAAAACTATCCGACAGCACCCTATCTTCCTATTTTATGGAAATCGCACAAAAACCCCAAAATTTCCCTAGGTCGGGGTAAAATCCCCAAAACGTTTGAGAAATTTTGGATTTTCCCCAAATAGTTCTCCACAATCTTATAATACTTTGAGGTTTTCCCCAAACTTTGGGGAGAACGCCAAAATAGGAAGATTGTGTATAATAAATATTCATTTAACAAGTGCAAGTATCAGGAAAATTAGACAGAAACAAAAAAATTAACAGACGAAAAAGCAATTGAAAACGGTAAGCTTATGTTTGAAGACAATTAAAAGTTTATAGTAGCTATGGGAAAATTCTGACAAACTTGATTATCGAGACCACGAATTAAAGTAACTTAGTAGTTCTTTTGGCCCGCTGCGTTGGTGCAAGTGCAATGAACCAAAAATAAAATATATCACTAAACATATAATAAACCTTGTCAAATACAGTTGTTCGTATTATTTAGCAGTCCATAACAAATTTTACTGTCTATAGTGAATCAAATGGTTGTGGATGGAATAGAAGAAGCTTTCACTTAACTGGCTTCCG